GCAAGGGGCAGCCGCCGCGGTGGGAGCATGCAAGCGTCGAGGAGGCGGAGGGCGACCCGGCGGTGCAGCGACTCCTCGATGCTGTCCGCCGCGCACCACCGCTCGACCTCGAGCTGGAATCGGCTGATGAGCGGCGGAGTGCGGCGGGTCGCTCTCTTGAGAGTTGAGTGTTGAGAGACGGGCCCTCGGTCACGAACTAGCCACGACCCACGTGGACGTATACTGAAGCCTTTTTCGTTCTTGTGCTGTGGGTCATCACGGACGTGCGAACAGATCGACCGGGCGAAAGGGAAGCTTCTGTGACGAGTCCCACACTGGGCCGGCGAGCTCAGCGGGGCACAGCCACAGGGGCACTGCTGAGCTCACAGACAACATTCTCTCACACATGCATAACTAGCGGCAAACATAAGATGGGCGGTATAGTGCGCGCAAGCCTGGAATTGGCTCGGCGAAGCGATGCCGCGACGGGCTGCTCGCGAACCGTGTAGCTTGGGCTTGGTTCGCGGCAGCATTGGGAGCGCAGAGGGGACGACGACATATAGCTTCTACTCACTTCTTCTTCTTCTTGGCCTTCTCAGCCGTCTCCGCAGCGGCGGCTTTCTCCTCGAGGATCGCAGCCACCTAACAGAAACGCGCAGAGGCGGTACATGACGGCGGCCCCTGCCTGCTTACTCGGCCTGGCGCAAGCAGAAGGCGCACCGGAGCAAACGCTTGCTCAAACGCGGCCTTCGGCGGCGTCGACGACGCGGTGGACGTAGCGTGCCACGGCTCGTCCGAGGACCAGTCGGTGGTCGCGGCCATCCGCGGGGAGGCTCGAGGCACGGCGAGCAGCGCGTCAGCAGAGCCACTGAGGGCGATGAGCATACACACAAAGCCTGCCACCTTCATTACGCCAACGTTAATCGCCTGAGAAAAGAATTATCTCGCATTCTTTTTTTGCGAACCCCTGCAGAAGGACTTCGCCCGCACCTCGCCTGTCGCGTGAATCGTGTCGTGCGACTGACGCAAAAATTCTTTTTCTCGCGATGTCTGCCCCGCCGCGCCGCCGCTCGCGCCGCCTCGCCACCGCCGCCACCGCCGCGCCATCGCCAGACACGCCGCCGCCCGCCCACCTCCTCGACCTCCCCTCGGAGCTCCTCGTGCGCGCCGTCTCTCGCTGCGACCCCGCCGACATCGCTCGCGCCGCGGGCATCTCGCGCGTCTTGCACGCCTCGCTTGCGGTGGAGGCCATCCGCTTGTGGGCGCAAGAGCGCGGTTTCGAGCTGCCGGCACTGCCAGAGGGCGAGAGCTGCGCCGTGCGGTGGCTGTGCTATTCGGCGTTGCTGTGCGAGTCCAACCCTCCGGCGAGGGTGGCGGCAGGCCAGTCTCACAGCTTCTTCATCGACGGCGAGGGGCGGCTCTCGTCGTGCGGCAAGGCTAACAGCTGGCAGCCGGGACTACTCGGGCACGGCGAGGGCGTGACGCGGCTCAACACGCCGACCCGCCTCCCCTCTCCTCAGCTGGGCGGCGAGCGTGCCGTGAGCGTGTCGACTGGATTCATGCACAGCTTCGCCCTCACTGCCGACGGAGCTCTCTGGAGCTGGGGTGGGGGAATCTATGGCATGCTGGGCCACGGCGACCAGCAGAACCAGCTGCTGCCAAAGAAGATCGAGGCCTTTGCCGGCCAGCGCGTCGTCGCTGTGTGCAGAACCAGCTGCTGCCAAAGCCTCGCCCTCACCGCCGATGGAGCCGTCTGGAGCTGGGGCCAGGGAGACGTCGGCCAGCTGGGCCACGGCGACCTGCAGAACCAGCTGCTGCCCAAGGAGATCGAATCATTTGCTGGCCAGCGCGTCGTCGCTGTGTCGGCTGGAGGTCTGCACAGCCTCGCCATCACCGCCGACGGAGCTGTCTGGAGCTGGGGCAATGGAGGCTCAGGCCGGTTGGGCCACGGCGACGTGCAACGCCAGCTGCTGCCCAAGAAGATCGAGGCCTTTGCTGACCAGCGCGTCGTCGCTGTGTCGGCTGGAACAAACTACAGCCTCGCCATCACCGCCGACGGCGCTGTCTGGAGCTGGGGCTACGGACACCAAGGCAGGTTGGGCCACGGCAACCAGCAGCACCAGCTGCTGCCAAAGAAGATCGAGGCCTTTGCTGGGCGGCGCGTCGTCGCTGTCTCTGCCGACTGCCACAGCCTCGCCCTCACCGCCGACGGTGCTGTCTGGCTGGGGCTTTGGAGGCCAAGGCAAGCTGGGCCACGGCGACCAGCAGCACCAGCTGCTGCCGAAGAAGGTCGAGGCCTTGGTTGGGGGCCCGCGCGTCATCGCTGTGTCGGCTGGGCTGAACCACAGCCTCGCCCTCACCGCTGGCGGCGCCGCCTGGAGCTGGGGCGGGGGCGAAAGCGGCTGCCTAGGCCACGGAGATCACCTGTCGAATCAGCTCTTGCCCAAGAAGATTGAGCTGTGGAGGCAATGATGGGCGGTTGGTCGGGCGTTTAGTCGCGCAGAAGTAGAGGAGCTTGTTACAGCCCGCGTTGTGTGCCTGCATGTATGCATGTGCGTTTGGAGACTCACAAATAGGCAGGTACCCACGGGACCGCTGCGGCGGGCCTGGGAGAGGCGCCACGAGTCCCGCAATGGGACGCACGGCCCGGCGCACTTCCCCAAGCTAAATAAATAAATAAATAAAAACGGACACCTCTCTACTGTGAGATGGGTAAAAAGGAACAGGCCCCTGCCCTTGCGATCTTTGTGCAGGGTTCTTTGTGGGTGTGGTCGGAGACTACTCTAGCCGGGGTCGTCCTCCCGCAGAAGCGGCTGACGCCCGCGCAGCAGATGCTCTTCAGCGTTTCCTTCTATGCCAACACGTGCTCGTCTTCGAGAAGCTGAGTACCAACCGCAGCCTCAAGCGCCCCATCGATCACAATTCGCCCATCACGCGCACGGGGGAGAGGCCTAAAGGGCACGCGCATGGGTTAACAAGAGCGAAAGCGCGTCCGGAAGGGATTCAAGGAAGGTGAAAGAACACACATCGAAGGCTAGCTCAAAAAGAGATTATTAGTAAACAACGAAGGCGCTCTAAAAAAAAAGTGCGGGTGTGTGCGTGTCATGTGGCTACACACACACACACACACACACACACACACACACACACACACACACACACACACACACACACACACACACACACACACACACACACACACACACACACACACACACACACACACACACACACACACACACAACAGCAAGTGATCATCCGTCTGTATTATAACTAACAACGAAGGCATGTGTGAGTGAGTATTCTTGTGATACGAAACCACGACGACACACACCAGTCGACTCGCATCGGTTGCCTCCATGAACGGCGGAGCTATTCTCGCGCCCACACCACACCTGGCTCCAACGTGGACACGCCCATAGCTGGGGACACTACTAGGTCACGCATGGCATCAGAAGTTTTATCTCTGGGCCCCGAAAGGCATCTCTAGCAGCGTCGTTACGCATGCGCCCTCCCCTCCTGGGCGCATGCGCCTCACATCTCGCCGGAGCATAAGCTCTTGGTGTATGCGACGAGACGAGTTTTTCGCCATCGCCGCGAGCAGCAACGAAGCCGCCCGCCGCAACAGCCGGAGGCATCGCCGCAGCACCAGCCGCGCCGCGATCCCGCACCCGTCGACGAAGCCCTCCCCCCGCGGAAGACCGCGCGTAGCGACGCCTACACACACACACACACACACACACACACACACACACACACACACACACACACACACACACACACACACACACACACACACACACACACACACACACACACACACACACACACACACACACACACACACACACACACACACACAACGAAGGCGCTCTCTCAAAAAAGAGAAAAACCCGCAGAGCTCGCGAGACCACCATGCCAGAACCATGCTCGCCGCGGGTAGTCTCATTCATCCCCCCATTCCCAGGGCCTCCAGGGCTCGCACCTCAACCTCTCATAGACCAGCGCGCAGCGCCATGTGAGGTATTTTCTTCTCAATAACAGCTCTGCGAAAGCCTTTTATAGCCTTCTATTACCCTCTGTGCTGCACGAATGGTGAAGACTTGTGCTTTACGCGACTTGTGTTTATTACGCGCGGGGGCGGCGGGTGTGTGGCGAGTGTGCGGGATGTCTGTGGGCCCGAGAGCGATATGCCATGTCCGTTGCGTTGTTTCATACTGATTGATTGATGGGAAGGCGAAACACAGTCCGACCAACGACTGGGTCGAAGGCAGGTAGGTAGGTAGAAAGGTGAAGAACAGCCAGGCTCGGACTGGACACCAACGCGGTATGGGTGGACGCTGGACAGATGATGACGACACGCACGAACGACACACAGACACAAACAGGCTCACAAGACACACAGCCAGCTGGCTGCCACACACCCTGAGTCGGCTTACACATAACTCAAGGCCACATCCTCCCTGTCGCCCCCCCCAGCACTCCAAGGTGCCAAGAGAACAAACAAGGGCACAACGACACAACAGACGACAGGAAGCGACATGCGAGGCTAGAGCAGGCTTGCTCTACCTCCAGCAATCTCTCCGGCCGGCGAGGCACGGACGAGACCGTGTGTGGGGTCTAGTGAGGTGTCTATGGACGCCCTCCTCAGAGGCTAGCTGCCTGCGGCTAGCCCTAATCTCGCACTCACGGACAGTGACAATCAAATGGGTGAGTGTTTGCGAGCTGTGTGTGTGTACCGTGCGAGTACTTGTAGTATAGTAGGGTGAGAATTCTGAAAAACGCCGGAATTCGGACGAGTACTCTCGCCTGCACAAATTCGATAAGTGGGACAAGGCGATGACAATCCAATGTATGAGTGTATTCAAGCAGAGGCGCGTGTGCTAATTCTAGGCCGCACGTCGTGGCACTATGACGGAGGTAGACGTAGGTAGGTAGGTGTAGGTAGACGTGCTACGGAAGGCAAAGCTCAAAAAAAGAGAAAAACCGCGCGTGTCCCAGCCGGCGAGCCTGGCCGAGCCATGCGATGGCCACCTCGCTCGCCTCTGGCGCTCCTCTTCGTCTCTCTGGCTACGCCTCGGGCCGCGCTGGTCCCCGCAGTTCTCGCTGCGGCTGCGCCGGACTTTAGCCTAGCGACGTCTGTCAACGCAAAAACAATGACGCGGCTCACGCTCGGCGATTGCTTTGAGATTCGGCAGGTGCTGCTGCTGGCGGCGCAGCAGCCGAGCCCGGACGGGCACGAATACAAGACTTGGGACGAGATGATGGACGACGTCTCCATCAAGGAGCACCCCCGCTTTTCCCAGGACAAGCAGAATGCCGCGAGCTCTGAGGACCGGGCGGCGAGGAGATGGTTCGACGAGCACTTCAACCGGCAGCTCGAGCGGGCTATCGAGGCGGACATGCCGCGTTTTTACGCCGTCACCCACGACGCGCCCACGCCCTCCGGCCCGATGACGCTCCTCTCGCTCCGCGCCGCCTTTCTCTCCAGAGAGCACTCGGAGGAGTCGTTCCTCTGGGTGGGACCCGACCCGCAAAGACGGAGCGTCCTCGATTGGGCGGCGTCGCTTCACGGCTCCGGCTGTGAACAGGTGCCCGGCATGCGCGAGTGGGCCCGCGCGCATCATTGCATGCCCGCGCTCACCTCCATGTTCACGCGCTACCGCGACTCTGGCAAGTGGACCGGCAAGGCAAAGTACTCGGACGTGCAAAGAGCCAAGGGGATGGCCGACATCGGCGCGATCGTGCTGGAAGGGTGCGACTCGCTCATCTTCGTGCAGCCGCGCGTCGGGGCGGTCATCGATGAGGTCAAGGGGACAGCGCCGAACGGGAGGGTGCTGTACGGGCCCCGCCCGGGCGACAACACGAACCTGTTTGAGGTCTTTCACTCGCCTCGCGGCGACTCCGGCATCGGCCTCACAGCGCCGCTCGTGCCGGCGCTGGCGCGGGAGAGGCCAACGCCCGAGGAGGCCGACGTCCAATTCGAGGTCAACGCGCGCGCGCACGCACGCACACACACACACACACACACACACACACACACACACACACACACACGCTCCAACACACACGCTCCACACCGCTCACCCACGCGCACCGGGCCTTGTGCACTTTGAATGCCGTGGGGCTCCTGTCGTTAGACGTGGAGGCGCGAGGGGTCGCCCGGGCCATTGCCCCACCACCTCGTAGTGTGGTGGAGACGTCGTGTGTGTGTACGTCTACCTCACCTTACCTTAGGTCAACGGAGACGGGACGTGGCGACGCACGCAGGCCATCCACGAAAAGGGCGCATGGAAAGCCTTCAACGAGAAGGTGCAGAGGGGCGGGGAGAGGGGCGAGGCGGGCGGTCAGGCGGGCGGCCTCGGGCTCAGGGAGTACATGCACACTCGGGCCGACGCCATGAGCTCGCAGCGCGTCGAGATCGGCAGGGCTGTGGGCCATAGTGGAGGCGCCAACCCGGACCCGCATCCAGCCCCCGCCGAGCAGCCGTGGCTGCCGCCGCTGCCGCTGCCACCCCGCCCGCCGGGCTCGCCGGCGGCGCGGGCGCCGCCGCCGCCAAGAGCGCCGCCGCCGCTGAGCACGCCGGGAGGAAAGCGGCCGCCTAGGCTGAAGGCGGGGCCTGGCGAGCCCGCTCCGAGGCAAACAGAAAGCGCGGCCGCGTCTGGCATCGAGAGGCCGGAGAAGGAGGGCGGGGGCGGCGCGGCGCCGCCAAGGCTGACCGGCGCGGACCGGCGGGAGAGGGTCCTCTTCTACGTCGGCAGCGAGGCGGAGGGCGCGGCGTGGGACCCGCTCGACGCAGGCGCGCTCTTTGACGAGCGGACGCAGGCTGCGGAGTCGGCGCGCGCGGTGGCGGCGCTCGGGTACGCGGTGGTCGTTGCTGGGCCGATGGTTGCGTCGGCGGAGGGGACGGCGGCGGACGGGGTTCAGTACGTACACGCGGAGTGGCTCGTCCTCACCTCTCCGCCGCGCAGGCCCGGCACGCCCGCCTCGCCCGGCAGGGTCCCGCCGTGGGTGGACGGCATCGCGCCCGGCGAGGCGCTCTTCGACCACGTGGCGATTGTGCGGCTGCGTGAACGGCGTCTCTTCACACCTGAAGCTGTGAGCAGGCGCTCTTCGACCACGCGGTGATTGTGCGGCTGCGTGAACGGCGTCTCTTCACACCCGAAGCTGTGAGCAGGCGCTCTTCGACCACGTGGTGATTGTGCGGCTGCTCGGGCAGTTTGCAGCGCGCCTCCCCCTCCTCGCCCGCGTGGGCGTCTACCTCTGGGTCGCCGAGAGGGAGGCCGAGTCGCTCGGCCTGCCCGCGCCGCCCGCCAGCGCCGACGACGCGCCCTCTGCCGGCGAGGGCGACCAGGGGAGAGCGACGCCGGCGCCCGAGGCACGGCTGTCGATGCCTCTGCTCGCGAACCTGGCGGGGAGGCTCGCGCGGCTGGTCGTGCCGTCGACCGCGCACAAGCGAGTGCTCGAGGCGAGGCTGAGGCCGCTGTCGCTGCCGCCGACGCGCGGCCCGCCGCGCTCTCGCGTGGCCGTGGTGCGGCCTAATTAATGATGAGTTATTATTAATTAATTGATGATAGGCCCGCCGCGCTCTCGCGTGGCCGTGGTGCGGCCTAATTAATGATGAGTTATTATTAATTAATTGATTATAGGCCCGCCGCGCTCTCGCGTGGCCGTGGTGCGGCCTCTGGCCGACGGCGCGCGGTGGGGCGGGGTGCGGAGCGAGCTCGGCGACGGGGGCTCCCCTCGCCACGTGCGCAACTCCTTCCTCGCGTGCGTTCGACACCTCGACCACCCGGGCCTCGTCGCCTTCCTCGACGCGCTCCCGGCCCTGCGCGAGGCCTCGCACTCCTCTCGTGCTCAAGAGGAGCGCGTGAGCTGCTCACTCCCTTCGCTCACGCCCGTAGTCGCTTCCGGGCGCCTCGATCACCGCGGGCACCCTCCCGTTCGACGGAGGCGATGCCTACCGCACCAGCCACGGGACCGAACCCGCACACGGCTCGAGACTCTGGAGACCGGCTGGTGCTAGGCTTCACGACGGCGGGCGGCAAGTGGGGCCTCACACTGTCAAAGCCGGAGGCGGTCGTCTTTACGCGGCTCGAGGAGGCGCCGTGGGGCCGCTACGCCGGGCTGCTGCACCGGCGCTCCCTGACGGAGGAGCCGCTGCGCGCGCGCGGCGTGAACGGCGTCTCTTCACACCTGAAGCTGTGAACAGGCGCTCCCTGATGGAGGAGCTGCTGCGCGCGGACTTTGTGCTTCTGCTGCTGCCCGCGCCGTCCGCCGGCGCCGACTCTCGCCCTCCGCCGCCGCAGCTCCTGCTGGAGGCGATGCTAGCGGAGACGGCGATCGTCAGCCCCGCGCTGGGCGATGCGGCGCCCCTCTCGCAGATCCTCGGCCAAAAGGAGGCCGCCCCGCGCGCGCTCTTCCTTGTGGGCGGCGTGGCGGGCGAGCTCCTCGGCGGCGGACCGCACCGCCCCGGCGTGCCGTTCTTGTTGAGCCGCCCAGCGCTGTCTTCTCTGTAGGCCAGCTGCTCGGCGAGGGCACCGCCCCGCTGGCAAAGCTGTGCTCCGACCGCAGCGCGCGCGACGCCGCCGTGCGCGCGGCGCGGCGGTTCGCGGAGGCGCAGCACTCGCCCTCCGCCACGGGGCGGGCGTGGGAGGCGGTCTTCGAGGACACGCCCCCTAGAAGTGTACGACGGACGCCTCTCTCACAGCACAGCTGTCACCGACACAGAGAAGCGCAGTACGCACACGCACCCCCCGAGACCGCACCCTTGTCTCCCACCTGGCGCTCGAGGCGTCACGTGCTCCGCTGTACTCGGCTGTACTCGGCCGTCCTCAGCCGGGTGCAGCTGTGGTCCCTGTCCCTCGCACCACGCGCTGCTCTGAAGACTCTGCACAGTCTTCCCGCCACTGACGTTGGCGTGCTCCTTCATGGCGTAGGACCAATACGCCGCGCTGCACGACGGATCGCCCGGCAAGCCGCCGCTGCCCGTGCGCGCCACGAAGCTGCCTCCGCCGTCGCCGCCGCCGGCGCGCGGCACAGAAAGCTGTTACTCGTTCGGCGACTTTCGGCGACAGCACCAGCTGTACGCGGGGCTGCTGGTGCTCGGCGGCTGGCTGGCGGGCTCGGTCTGGATCCTCCTCGCCACGTGGCGGCAGAAGGGGACGGCCGCACCGCCGCACCGCGAGCGCGAGCACGGCTCCAGCTCGCGCAAGCACAAGGCGGCGTGACGTTTGTCTGTGCGTTGTTCTTCGTCGTGTTGTGGGTTGTGTCCACGTGTCATGCTCATGGCGCGCGCGCTCCGGCCTCCGCGCTCCGGGGGAGCCCCTCTAAAGGGTGTGGATGCTGGGTTGACGGAAATCGGGGGACGCGACCCACCTCGCCACAGACCCACAGACGGTCCCGCGCCTCGCCGTCGAGCGTCGTTAAGACGGCTACACGACCGCGGCTCATGTGCGTGTAGCCGGGAGTGAATACTCCAACGCGCTCGTCGGTGACGGTGGATTTTCGCCGCGCTCGGCGAACCTCGACAGCGCTTTCGGTGGCATGCAGCTCTTTGCGACAGAAGCCTGGAGAGCAGCTCCTCTGCTGCTCACACGCTCTGCACAGTTGGCACAGCCTACTGTGCGGCTGCCACAGCTGTGACAGCGATGGGCTCGCCCTCACTGGCCCTCAGTCACTTGTCGTGCGGCTTGTGTGAGCGACACTGCTCGGCGATTGCCGGCACACTGTGAGACCATGGGTGTGAGGTCAAACCACGCTACCAGCGCTTGGTCACATCGGCCCCGAGGTCAGATCCTTCTACTCTGTTAGTGACAAGACTTGACTACTGGCTGGAGCCGAGCAGGAGGTCCCGGCGCACAACCCGGTCCTGGCTGGTCAACTCACGGTCCACACCCCGTAGTGCCGGGTTAGCGTCGGGTTATGGTAACCCGTTCTGACCCGAGCTGACCCGTGCCGGTTAGTGCGGCTTAACCCGGTGGAACCCGCGCTAACCCGCGCTACCTAAAGACTCACAAACATCCACCTGCGCTCCGTCGATGCGCTCCGCTGCCTTTGACCATAACGTTCGAGCGGCGGTTAGGCCAGCTGCGCTTCGACTGCAAGTGACGCACACGCAATGCCATCTCTCGCGCGCCTTGGCCGTGGGGCTCAGCAGTGGGTGCGGACGACGACGTCCACGGCGTCGGCAGCGCGCCTCGACCGCACCGCCCCTTCGGCCGCCTATTTGGACTTTCCGTGCGTGCGCGACACGCCCGACTATAAGCTGAGCGCCGTCGCATTGGAGCCACCAGCAGGCCTCATGGCAATGCTGCTGCTCGAAGACACGGAGCACCTGCCCTTCCCCCTGTTGGATGCCTGCATGTGCTAGAGCGAGCGAGGCTGGCTGAGGCAGTGAGCGCGCTCGCGCCCGGTCAAGTGTCAGTGCAAGTGCAGTGCCACGGTGCAGTGCGAATGCGGGTGCGCGCGAGGCGGCGGAGGATATGGCTTTCGCCGCGGAACGGCGTCGCCGGCCGGGGAGCCGTCGGAGAGCCCCGCGACGATCGCGCCTCCCGCATTCAGTGCAGCTGTGGTGAGTGCGTCGATGCCAAGGTGCGTGCCCTGGTGGGTGCCCTGGCCTCGGTGCGCGACACGCGCGCCGAGGGCTTCGGAGGCGGGTGCGCGGTTGGTGCGGTGCGCAGTGAATAGCGGTGTGGGTTTGCAATGGGACCGGGAGGGGTTTTCGCGTGGGCGGAGAGCCCCGGTGTGTGTGCCCATCTCCCTGGGCGCCACGGTGCTACTGCTAGCGCGGGTGCTGTCTCCCCTCTCGAGTCTCGTTCAATGAAAACATCGCAACACAAACACGGTCTTTGCGGCCGCGGCGGGCGGAAGTGGTTGGAATGTCACGGTGGCAACAGATCCGAAGATCCGGCAGAGCTCACATGCATGTCCTCCCCAATGACCAGCGGCCCGAGTTCGCCAAACATTCCGGAGAGGCTCGAGCAGCCAGATGACAGCAGCAATGACAGCAGCAATGACAGCAGCAATGACAGCAGCAATGACAGCACAGCAGCAGCAACGACAGCGATGACAGCAGCAATGACAGCAGGAATGACAGCTGCGCAATTACAGCAGCAGTGACAGTTGGACCGTCGGGGATGGTTACGACAGCAGCAACGACAGCAGCAACGACAGCAGCAACGACAGCTGGTGACAGCTGGTGACAGCTGGTGACAGCTGGTGACAGCTGGTGACAGGTAGGTGTCACTGTCGCTGTCGTTTGCTGTATGACAGCTGGCAGCTGTCATGACAGCGGCTAACCGTCATGACAGCGGCTAACCGTCATGACGTGAACTCTCCATAGTCTCTTAGGTATGTCGTGATGGCGGTGCAGGGAGAGTTCCCGCGCGCGCGAGGGGCAGGCGTTCCCAAGGGGACGATCCTGTGCCTCGGCAGGGTGCTCGACGCGCACGATGAGCAGGACGACGCGGAGGGTGGGCGACGGGATTGGGAGGAGGACCCGCTCGGGTTCGACACCAACCCGGGGCTGCTCCGCGCCATGTGCATGGCGTTCGAGTGAACGCCGTGCAGGCAGCCCGTGCCTTTTGGTGTACCCCGTTTGTGCCGCGTCCTGTGCCCCCGAGTTCATTTTATAATATAAGGCAGGAAAACACCGCCTCCCACCGCGCGCCGCTGTAAAAGCGGGTCTGCCGGCTCGCGGCGGCGTCAGAGGACGCCGTCGTGACCCCGTGCGTACTACGAGGTAGCCTGGCGTTTCAGCCCATTCCGTGCGCGCAGCTGGGCGCAAAAAACGCGCCGCATGCCATGGACGCTGCCAACAATTTGCAAATCTTCGACGAGATCCGCCGTGCCTCACCCCAGAGCACGCTACAGCGCTGGCACAGCGCAGAGTGCCGTGCGCTCAGCGACCCTGGCGGCCGCACGGCGCCGCGAGGCCTCACGTTTGACCGCTTGCATGGAGTGTACAGACCTCCTCAAGCAGGCACAGAGGTCCCCATCGTTCGCCGCTGGACATGGGAGGACGACATCGCCCTGGGGCGGCTGAGGGTACAGGGATGCGGCGGCTTTGCGACTCGGGCGTGGTCCTGCGAGAGCGCAGGGTGCAAGGCAGCCAGTTGCAGCTGGGACCGGCAAGCACTGCTCGAGCCGAGGTTAGATAGAGCAGTGACACAACTCACGCTAGCCACACCCGCGCGCACAGTTTTGCAATCTGCCATTAGGGGGACCCATATCTGCCGGCGGCGGCTCTTGTGCAGCGCCCTCGGCCTGCCCGCAGCCATCGGCACTGTCCAGCGGCCTGCCAAAGGGTGGACACTCCGGTCGGACTTGCCGTCGCCGCACACGCTCTTCATCCTTGCCCTGGAGAAGAACGGGCTGTCGACGATTGACAACCTCTTCCAGTCCTTGTTGCGGATCCGCACTCGCAAACGAGCTCCGCACCCGCAGCTGAATATGAGCAGAGTCAGTATCGACATGTGGTCCGCGAGCGGCCGGCTGGATCCTTACTGCAGCAGATCATCGAACCTGCAGCTTCTCGATGCGATTGCCGCCAACTCTTTGCGCCCTATGCCCGCCGGCAGTCCTTGGTCGGAGCGGAGCGGGTGCGGATACGCGGCGACGTTTGCATTGGATGCAGCATCGATGGCGCACCTGGGCCAGCGAAGCTCAGACCTGCCGCAGCCGAGGCTCCATCCTGCCCGCCGGCCGGGTGGAGAGGGGGCCGGCTCCGCACGACCGCGAGTCGACCGCGAGCCCATACTGCATATCGCGACAGTGCGCGACCCGCTCGACCGCTTTGTATCGGCCTACAACGATCACGGCGTGGGTGGAAGCGGCATCGCACGCTGTCGCGTCACCCAAAAGCATATCGAAGCGGCTCTGCGAGAGGGGCGCAAACCTCCTCCTCCGTGTCCACCGCTGGCTCTCGAGCTGCGGAAGCACGCGCAGCGCCTGGCCGACGGGAGGTTCATCACACGGCTGACTCCACATCACGCAGGCATCCACTTCTTCTCCCAGTCGTACTTCCTATCGGCCACCGATCGCGACGGCGCACCGCTGGAGTGGGACATGCTCGTGCGGCTCGAGCGGCTCGAGCAGGAATAGAGCGTTGCCCAGAGGCGCCCGCACTGTCGCGTCAATGCGCGCTGACCTTGCCTCTCCTTCTGTAGGACTTGGGCCCCGCCATCCGCGCGGTCCTAAATCTCGATCGGGGCGGCTCTTCGTCCGGGTGGCGACCTCCCACCTTTGGCCATGCCAACTCGATAGCGACGAGGCATCGCGGCGCCTCAAGCGGTGCGCAGGACCACGGGGATAGGGAGCGGCTGATGGCCGGTCTCAGGAACGACTCAACGACTATGTGCCACATCTGCAATATCTACCTCCAAGACTTTGTGTGCCTCGGCTACGCGGTGCCGGCAGCATGCCTTCTCCCCAGCTGCCTACGGACTCTCGCACCACGCCTCGAGCGCGCGGGCCTCTCCACTCACATTCTTGGGCGGCCGCCGTAGCACGTAACAGAGTAGCAGCGAGGACGAGAGCTGGCCGAGCATCTTTGGTGGGGCGGGCGAAAGCGCGAAAACTGAAGAAAAGATTGCTGCGGAGCGCGGAAGCGGAAAGAATTTAAACAAAACAAGTCTCTCTCTCAGCGGAAAGAATTTAAACTAGGCCGGTCGCTCCCCCGTCTTTGGGCCCTGTTGAGTCGTTTCGGAAGTTGAAGTTGGCGCATCACAAAGAACCCAAATCCAACCCTGCCAACCGAGCAAGCCCATGGGGGACGCGAGGTCTTGCTCCACCTTCTCGGCGCTCGCGTCGCCCAACCTGAGAGCCTCATCCGCCATGCCGGGGCACATCTTGACCGGAGCCGGTCACATGTCCATCGTGCCCAAGACGGGGCACGGTCGACTCGACCGCGGCCGATGGCACCGGCCCAACGGCCGACCAAGATTTTACGCCTCCGAACGCCGGGCCGGTGAGGTGGCGGGTCGGGCGACACGGAAAATCGGTGGCTGACAACGACTTTTTGAGGCCATCGGTTTGAGGTCTGCAGACATTTTCTGGATGATCTCGCATTTCCCGAGGCGTAATCGCAGATCCAGACGGCCCAGCAGGTGGGCGCTGCAGGCGAGCCGCCTCACATCCTTCGCCCCCCCCGTCGCTCACGCTGCCTCTGAAGCACCGGACCACCCCCCCCGCGCCCAGGCGGCCTAGCTGCCGCGGGCTCCACCCACGCGGGCCACCATCAGCGCCGCCCGACGGCTCAGAACCTCTCTCTTTAGGTCCCACAAAAGGCGGCGAGCGAGCGGCGAGGCAGATGAATCGAGCTCTGGACGCATGCCGCGAGAGCTGTGAGGGTCGCAGCTCGGCCTCCATCTTGCCCGGTAGTGGCGCGTCGGCTTGCCGGCTCACGGGGGTCACTGCCCCTAGGTGCCGCCTCACCTCGCCTCTATGCACCCTTCACCCTCTAGCGCCTCACCCTGCCCGGTGCCGTGGTAGTGGCGGTGTCAGCCATGCTGGACCGGCGGCAGCGAGGCCGACGGGCGTGGCTGCGGCGACAACGGCGGCTTGGCCCGTGACGGCGACGGCGCTGACGGCAGAGCAGCTGCGGCCGGCACGGGCGGGTGCGGCCGAGCAGCGCGGCGCTCACAGCAGGCGGCCGGCGTGGCGGCGGCGACGGCGCCGCACGAGGAAGCGGTGGCGCAGCCGCGCATGACAGGTCCGGCGCGTGTCGAGCAGCGAGGTGGCGCGCCGCGCTGCCGACGCGCCCCCAGGCCGGAGGCGGCCGCCGCGTGCCGAGCCGCGGGCTGTTGGTGCTTACAGTCTGCGGCGGCGGCGCCGCCGCCGCGGAGCGAGGCAGCGGCGGCGGCGGCGGCGGCGGCGGCGGCGGCGGGGGATGCGGCGGCTGCACGTTGTGCCTCGAGGCGTCGCTCGCGGCGCTGGTGCGGCGCGTGGTTGGCTGACGAGGTTGCGCGCGCACGGCGCACGAGGGTGTAGTCACGTCCCTCGGCTCTCGCCACCGCTGTCGCCGCGCGCTCCGCGTTCGTTGTCGCCGGCGCTGCCCGCCTCGAGCCACTGCGGCCACTGCCGCGCGACGTTGCGCCGCGCCATGCTGGCCGTCGCTCTCTCGACGTTGTGGAGGAGGCTCTGTCCCACGTCGAGAGGAGGCGTTCCCGCGGTGATATTGACCCAGCTCTGTTGTCTCTAGGCTGCGTCGGCACGGGAGGCGCTGCGGGCGGGAAGGTGGAGCGGGCTGCGGAGCGGCAGATTAGTGGCAGTGGCGACGGGCGGGGCGGCAGCGAGCAGGGTGGCGAGTGAGACGTTGGAGAGGCGGGGCTGGGGAGGCTGGTGCCGGTGCCACTACAGGCGGTGCAGGTGCGGTGTGCTACTGTAGTGCTCGCTCACCGGAGCGAGCGCGGCGGTCGGACCGTCCTGGCAAGGGCCGCTGACCAGGACGGTCGCCAGGAGTCGGCTTGCACCGCGAGAGCGGCGAGGCGGGGGGAGAGGCTTGGTGAGGGTGTCCGCGGTGGTGCCGGTGTGTTAGTTAGGGGGAGAGGCGCGGGCCGGGGGAGCGGGAGGGGGTGGGGGGGTGGAAAATTTCGATACCCTAAGGTGCCCTGGTGATCCTGGGTTAGCATCGTCTCTTCTGAGCCCGCTCTTGATGGGTTGGAAGCGTTTTCATAGCGAATTCACGCCGATTTTGCCATACGGACGTCCCTGGCGCGCGCTCTTGAAGGCCTCATCCTGGGATGGTGCTCGCCAGCGTGAGTTCATACAGTGCTGCGAGCTGGCCTAAGGCCGGACCTTACGACGGTCCAGCGCTGGGCAGCGTGATGGCTCTTACTCGAGGCGCGACATGAGTGTACGAGGACCTCAACGTCTCGGTTTGGCGAACCAGCATGAGGAGCGGAGCCGCTGTAGCTCCTCCCTGCAGCTTGCGCGTCGCGGTTTGGCCGACGTCCCATCCACCGCGCATACTGCGGCGGCTCTCCAGCTCAAGAAGGCTGCGCTCGACCACCACATCGCCCGAGTCAGTGGTCCGGACGCCCCGCTGAGCCTCGCGCCGCAGTGCAGCCAGTTTGCGCGGCCGTGATGCGCGAATCGAACCGGTGCGATGTTGTTCGGCACTCTAGATGGCCTGAACATGCTTGCGTTCAAGTCTTGAGGTCTGCGCTTAAACTTGAAAATTTAATAAAATCGGGTCCGACCGGCCTACCCTGGGGCGCTGTGGGCGCCCCGCTGGCTGTGCGGTTCGTTCGATAAGACTTGAGAGATGTAGGAACACAAGCGGTGTGTGCGCCACGACGTGACGTGGCGCTGTGAGTTGTCCCGCGTCGCACAGAGGCACAGTCACGCTGGCGGTGCGCGCCACAGAGGCTAGAGCTCCTCGGCTGGCGCGTCGGCGGTCACCTCGAGCTCGCCGGAGTCGGCGATGAGAACCTCCTTGGACGTCTTGCCCGAGGGCGAGCCGACCCCCTCGACCTTCTTGACGATGTCCATACCCTCGAGCACCTGCGAGGGGCAGGGACCAGGAGAGGCCGGCTCACCTCTCGCAGCGCGACGCCCGGGCAGCGCTGCCACGCTGCCATGTGCCACAGGGACGGCGCCACGCTGCCATGTCCACAGGGACGGGCGCGTGCGCGTGTGCGCGTGTGCGCGTGTGTGCGCCTTGCCAAAGACGACGTGCTTGCCGTCCAGCCACGCCGTCTTGACGGTGCAGATGAAGAACTGGGAGCCGTTGGTGCCCGGGCCGGCGTTGGCCATCGAGAGGATGCCCGGGCCGGTGTGCTTCAGCTTGAAGTTCTCGTCGGCAAACTTCTCGCCGTAAATCTGAGCACGGGACAGACGCCGGTCCGCAGTGGGCCGGGCGGAGCGGGGGGGTGGCGAGAGCGTCCAGCGTGGTGGTAGAGCGGGCGGGTGGCGAGCGTCCGGCGTGGCCGCAGGCTCACCGACTCGCCGCCGGTGCCGTCGCCACGCGTGAAGTCGCCGCCCTGCAGCATGAAGTTGGGGATCACGCGGTGGAACTTGGACCCCTTGAAGGCGAGCGGCTTGCCGCTCTTGCCCATCCCCTTCTCGCCGGTCGCGAGGGCGCGGACTGACGGCAGGGCGGCGGGGCGGGCGGGGCGTCATAAGCGCCACCGCGGCGGCAGAGAGGCGGGCATCCGGCGCACAGTTCTCGACAGTCTTGGGCACCGTCTTGCCGTACAGGCCCATCACGATCCGCCCAGCCGGCTCACCACCGATTGTGATGTCAAAGTACACTTTGTGCGTCACCTTTGGTCCAGACGAGGAGCCGGCGCCAAGGGCGAGGAGCGTGGAGAGAGCAGCCCACATTATAGCCTGCGTGCAGGTAGGCGCAGGGTGGGGAGTGGAGTCCAGGCGAGGGACAGTCGTTGGCCGCTGGCAGCATGCCTGCTTCTGACTCAGCGCTCTGCAAAGAAATATCAAAGTTTGGAGGTTCAGTGAGCGAGAGGCGGACGCCCAAGGGTGGGCGACGGCTAGGGCATCACAACGCAACTCCTTAAAATCCCTTGTGGTGGCGGCGTGCCGTCCTCCCATCCCTCCCTTGGCTTGTCCGTTTTCTTTCTTTCTTTCCGGAATCGATTTCTTTTTCACAAAGGTGTTCCAGGCAGCAGGCCACAACTCTCTCCACACACGGCGTTGACTGCTCAAGGGACGCCCAAGGTATGTCACCGGCCCGATCGCCTCGCTCACGCGCTGCTGCCCGCACCCATCTTGCTGACAGCCTCCGCGTCGCTGTCAAGGTGGTCACGCTTGTGTGCGTCTCGTGTGCACTCTGACCAATCCGGTGCCGCTGCCCTATCTGCCGCACTACAGCACCTCGGCTGGACTCTGTTCACGTCCCGACTGCTCTCTCTTGTACTGCATCACCTCTTCTCATGCCTGCTGACTCAGCGCTGGGCAAAGAATTCTTAATTAAGATACAAGCCTCTCTCACAGCAACCAAGGTGGGGAGCGTCACAAATCGGTGATCGCGCGTCAGGGCGGGTCGCACAGCACACGCACACGCACACACACACACACACGCACACACACACACACACACACACACACACACACACACACACACACACACACATGCATGCACAGACACACAGCCCATTCCCCTTCCCCCGCAAGACATCAAGGACGAGGACACGACACAGGACGCACCTCTAGTGAGGCCCGCATAGTAATGTGGGTGACTCCTGCCGCCGCCCCTGCCACCCCTGTGTCAGTGTGCCTGTGGTAGGAGAGACTGCCAGGTGAGGTAGGGCGTTTTGGCGCGAGTCAGTGTCAACAGACTACCCCCTATCCGGGTGGTAGGAGCCGGAACCCTGATGTTTTGGGCCGCAGCGGAGTCAGCGGGGGGCGACCCGGCGTTGCCTGACAGTGACGATCGCTGGTTGTCCTCCCTCGACGTGGTGTGTTGCCTGGGCCCGGGTCTGCGTGGTCCCCCCATGTAACGTACGTCAACTCCGGTCGCGACGGAGGCCAACACGCGCATTCCACATGCAAGACGATCTGCGGAGCGGCGACCCCAGCAGGCTGGCCGGCAGCGGCGCTGTGGCCTCACGACACCCGCGCTGGCAGCGTGGCGCCGCTCGGCGCCTGCCTCCCAGTCTCTACCGGCGGCCAAAGGCGATGGCCATTGCGCGGCCGCCGGAGGGCGGCGTCCAGTCCGACGGCTCAGAGAGCACGGGCTCGAGCGGCTCGAGCGGCTCGAGCGAGGCGAGCGACTCGGAGGACGACCTTCGGGATGGCGACGGCCGCGCCTGCTGCTGCTGCTGCTGCTGCTGCCCTTCTCCAGAGGTGTTGCTCGCGCTCGGCTTCTCCGCAGCCAGCGTGGCGGGCTTCAGCGTCGCAGTCCACTACGGCCTGGTGCGCAAGCCCGACACTAGCGAGATGTTCTCTCTCGATGCGTGGAGGGAGTGGCCCACCAAGCTGCGCGTCGAGGCGGGCTTCAGGCAGTACGACCGCGACAAGGACGGCGTCTTCGGCCCGGCGGATGTCGCCGAGATTGCGCTCACGCTCAAGGGCGAGCGCCCCACGCCAAGGCAAGCCGCGGCGTGGGTGGCACGGGGCGACCTGGACGGCGACGGTGCTCTCAATTTCACTGAGTTCTGGTCCATGACGCGCAAGGAACGGGCGGCAAAGGGGGAGGGCTAGGGTGTGGGTCGACGGATAGGGTGTGACAGGTACGCGCACTGACGGTCGGCCGTCAGAAAACACGCCAGCGTGGATCGCGTCACACCAATTCTCGCTAGCCAACGCGGCCAAAGGATATAACCTCGAGAACCTCGAGAACCTACCCAGCGCGGGAAGAATTTAAAATACAAGCCTCTCTCACACAGCACACTGGCACGACACAACGGCGCGGACTGGCGCGGACTGGCACACGCACCGGCTCACCACCGGAGCCGCCTAAGCGACTCCGTTAAGAACGGCAATGCACTCCGCACCATGCACAATGCCGCTCCCCCCGCACGCTAGCTCGTTCAACGCCACAGCGGTGTGGAGGACGACCGACAAGCGCTGCATCTGCAGCCCGTGCCAGTTCTTGGTTGTCCATGTGACCTCGTCCAGGTGCTGAGCATGCGAAAGTTTGTTGCTCAGCTGGTTCGCCGCCTCCCTCAGGCGTCAGGGTGAGTGAGTGAGTATTCTTGATACGAAACCACGACGACACACACCAGTCGACTCGCATCGGTTGCCTCCATGAACGGCGGAGCTATTCTCGCGTCCACACTACACCTGGCTCCAACGTGAACACGCCCATAGTTTTTATTTCTTTCTTCCCATAGCTCGGGACACTACTAGGTCACGCATGTCGCACGCATGGCATCACAGAAGTTTTTATCTCTGGGCCCCGAAAGGCATCTCTAGCAGCGTCGTTACGCATGCGCCCTCCCCTCCTGGGCGCATGCGCCTCACATCTCGCGAGACACACACACCTCAGGGTGCTGCGAACCTCCTTTCCAAAGAGATCGCGGAAAAAACAATCAAGCTCTCCCTTGCTGGTTGCAATTCGGCACGGCCGGCCGCGTTTTTGGCCTCTCTCGCCTCTCCAAGGGCGGCACCGCGTAGCACTGACTCACACAGACAGGGAACATGCCGTCGTCCAACGACTCGACAGCTTTCTCCACCGAGCGCCTACTGACGCTCAGCGTGCCGCACCTCACGCTGCTACTCTCTTCGCTTCTGGCTGTGTGCATCGGGACCACATACTTGACATGCGTCGGTGAACACGAGTGCCAAGTGTTCCTTCCAATGATCTCTGACACGTGGGTCTACCCACCGGGTACGTATCTGTCGCGCCTCACGCTCTCCATGGTCGCGGCCGGTCTCGGCGTCGTCTACTCCGCCTTCTACTACGCCCGGGTCGGCGCAGGCTCTCCCGCGCGCCTCCAGGCCGCTCTTCTCTCGGTCACTCACTTCTCCTGCGTCACCATGGGCGTGGTCGGGGCGGTGTGTGAGGACTCGAAGGTGCCATCTTGCGATGTTGGTCCCTTTGCGGGCATCCACAACATCGCTGCGATCCTTACATTCGGCATCGGGACCATCTACGCAGTGCAAGCCGTGTGCAGTCTGCCCAGAAAAGCGCCGCGTGTCGGACTCAGCCTGCTCGCCGTCGCTTCGCTCGTCTCGAAGGCGCGCTGGCTGCCCGGCAATCTGGCTCTCACGATCGACCGAAACCCGGCCGTGCCTCTGCTGGAATGGTCCGACGCTGCGGCTCTGATCCTCTTCTTCCCCATGTACGCTGCGGTGTGATCTGCCTTGTGGAAGGATTGCGCACAGTGCCACGCGGTGAGAAGAGTGCGACCTTCATGTCCAGGCCTGCTGCCCCGACTTCTCGTTCGGCTACCTTCGCAGCCACGGCCCGCTCCCCTTCTGCCAGGGCCCGCTCCCCTCCCTCTCCGGCCCCGCCGCCTCCACTCCGTCGCCGCTCGCCTCTTGGAGCGAAAAGGGGCTTGTCCGCATTGTGCAGCGAATGGTAGCTGTGACGGTGGGTGCTGCGAACATCCTGCGGCAGCCGCAGCGCGCTTCGATCGCCACATAGCCGTCGGTTGACTAGGTGTCGACAACGTTTCTCCTGTCTTGGGCCGACGGGACCATCCACCCTCGCTCGGCCGCCCCGCGGTCTCTTCGACGCACACGCGCGCCGTACCGCGTCCCCACATCTCCCGTGGCGCCTCCATAGGCTTGGCCTACGCTCTGCGACATGTGGGTGACTTGCTCACACCCGCTGGCCTTCTCCGCATGCCTCCCCCAAGTCCTCCCCTTGGCCATGAGCGCAGGTGAGCCCACCCTCCAACATCATCTCCCGCTACATGGTCTGCCTGGGCGCCCTGCTCGCTGCCGCATCGCAGCTGTCTCATCTTCTCCTCTCCAACGTCGCTCGCGCCCGCACCTTGCGTGGCTTCGGCCTCTACCTCAACGCGCTGCTGCATGCCATCTCTCTCGCCGGCTTGCGCGCCTCGAGTCCCAGTCATGGAAGGCGCGACTCTCACCCACCGTCCGTGCCGCGTAGGCCTCTTCGGCCTTGCCGTCGTTGGCGCGCCCTGTGCTGCGGCGAACGAGCGCGGGGGTGGAGTCCCGCCTCCAGTCACGCAACGTCACGCTGTATAACCAGGCGCCTGCAACGTCGACGAGGACTTTAATCTCCACTCGTTCGCCGCGAGTGCCTTTTTTGGGTGGGACGCCGCCCGCAGCCCGACGCCTATTTCCCGCTTCCTCTCTCATCGTCCCGGCTGCGTTAGGCTCCACCTCGTCTACTTTGTCCTTGATGCGATCTGGTCGGCGTCGAGCGCCAAGGCGTCGACGAACGCTTTTGCCGCTGCCGCTTGTCTCGCTGCCGCTGCTTCGATTGGCTCTCACGCGCTGGCCCCGCATTTGGTAGTCCAGCTCTCTGCGAATGGCACAGCTGAGTCGTTCGGTGCGATTTGCGAGTGGTTCGCGCTACTTTGCTTCACAGTCTTGCTGTCGACTTCGACGGACGCTTTCGACGGCCTCGGCTCGATCCACCTCGCCCTGAGCGGCCCCGGCACACCCACGCCGCCGGCGCGCATCCAAGTGGACATCAAGCAGCAGGAAGCCCTCGCCTCTGCGCTCCTGCTGAATGAAGACGGCTCAGGACTCTTGGTCGATCGCTGTGTCGCCGCCAGTTGCTGAAGCGACCTCCTTCTCCGAGCATGATGTTCCCTTCTCCATCACATGCGCATGCATGTGCATGTGCATGTGCATGTGCATGTGCATGTGCATGTCCATGTCCATGTCCGCATGTGCATGTGCATAGACCTACAGACACATGCACTGTTGTGCAGCACAGCTCTCATAGGCGATTCCTCGACGTTGACGTGCCTCGATCGCCATGAGTACATGTAATACCGGCGCGCTGCTGCGGATCGGTGTTGTTTTGAGAGTGTGTGTTGTGAGAGAGAGAGAGTCGTGTAGTACGTCGACTATCGTCCAGCTCCAGGGGGTACCCGAGCGCCGAGGTATGTACGTCAGAGACAAGACGCTGAGCACAATAGACAACCACACACGGGGTACAGAGCATCTCAACTTCGTTAAAAGGCGAAGCACTTTAGAGGAGCAAGGCATCTGAGAGCACACAGTATCTGTGTACTATATGCTATGACCTATGTGCTGGTAAACGCCTCATCCGTGGACGTGGCGTCAACGGCGCTGGCAAGTCGCAAGTCAACCGGGCCAGTGATCTCTTGCGCATCGAAGCGCGAGAAGGCAAACGACGTGGCGTCTGCAGCGGCCACCTCGTACATGGCGGCCTCGCCCTCGATTGCACCCTCAGCCATAGCAGCGGTGGTGAAGTGGCCCTCAGCTGGGTACTCGTCGACGTTGCCCCAGCGGGAAGCTGTCGAGGAGAACGACTGGCCGACAAGGCCATGCGGGAGGGACCGCGAGGCCGCGTTGTCCTTCGCGTGAAATGAGACGTCCAATCTGTGTAGAGGGCCGGAAATGTGGCCGTACACATGATTGCCACGGACATGAAGGCTCCATCGGGGCAGAGAAAAATAAGCACTCGCCATGTCGACCTGCGTAAGTGCAGGGACGGGCGTCGGACGGGGTGGGGCTGGGAGGTCGCTGCGCAATGCGCAAGGGGCACACCTCAATGGACAGCTCACCGCATTTCCGACGGCCGCCCGGGCCCAGCTTGAAGCGGGGACTCGTCGAAGCGTTGCCGCACGATCCGTTGACAATCCTCCACCTGAGCAAGCCCAAAGGCCGTAATCGAGAGACTTGAGCGCGCCAGTGTGCAGAGGGACGGAGCAGGGGGAGGGGGCGTTCACCCCCAATTGCTCGGTCCCAGCTCAGACGCCCAAAACGAGGCGCGTGCCAGCTGGCGATCGGTCCCAACGCGCGCTACCACGTGCACCTTTGGGGTGGCAGTGCAATTGGGTGAGTAGGGCGCCAAGGAAGCGCGGGCTGCTGAGCACACACCTCGGTGATGAAGCTTCCGTGCACGGTCAGGGTGTGCCCGAGCTTCCTGTGCATTTCGAACACGGCGTCCTCCGTCTTGACGTTGACAGCAAGATTGGGTGCGGAGAAAAAGCTGTAGTAGCGGCCGTCCTCGCCGCGGAAGTCTGCGCGGCCGCCGTGCGCAAAGTGAAGATGCCTGCGACAAGGAGAGAGGGTAGGAGCTAGGTAGGAGCGGGACGAGATGGCTCCCAGTCTCACGGCAGCGGGCATCTAGGGCCATTACGGATCTTTGTCGACTCCGCCCGGACCGGCCGGAGGCGGCGGCAAGGGAGGGGGTTGGGACGGGGGCGACGGAGGCGCTGTCACGGTGGTCACGGCCACCCCCTGTCCCGCGGGTTCGGTCACGTCCGCCGTGAGCTTAATCGCAACCGAGCCATCCGGGATACCAGCAACGACGACAGTCTCAAGCAAGCGGCGACTAGTGACAATCTCAAGTATGATTTCCAACGACTCTATTTGGTACACGGTGTTATTGATCTCGATGAAGTCCCCTGCAGTCAAGTTGTTGGGAATGCAATTGACAAAGATGACATTGGCGTGAGGAGCTGCCGTTGGGATGTCGGCCGCAAGCTTCATTTCATCTCCGTCACAAAAATTGGGTGGCGAAAGCGGCGGTGGAGGCGGCAGGGTTGGCGGCAATGGAGGCGGGGAGGGTGAGGTGGAGGGAGGCGGCGGGGAGGGCGAGGCGGAGGGAGGCGGCGGGGAGGGCGAGGCGGAGGGAGGCGGCGGGGAGGGCGAGGTGGAGGGAGGTGCCGATGGCGGAAGAGGAGACACAGAGGCATCGGGTCCTGAGGGAGGTGGGGAGGGTGGGGGTGGCAACGGCGGTGCCTCTGTAGGCTGGGAAGGCGGCGGCGGTGAAGGCGGCGGTGGATGAGGAGGAGGAGGATAGGGCGGCTGCGGAGGCGGTGGCGAGGGAGGCGGTGGTGATGGTGAATCTCTGACGCCGGGATCGCGGGGTGGCGACGGCGGCGCAGAGGGAGATGGCGATGGCAGTGGTGATGATGGAGGAGGCGGGGAGGGTGAGGTGGAGGGAGGCGGCGGGGAGGGCGAGGCGGAGGGAGGCGGCGGGGAGGGCGAGGCGGAGGGTGGCGGCGGGGAGGGCGAGGTGGAGGGAGGCGGCGGGGAGGGCGAGGCGGAGGGTGGCGGCGGGGAGGGCGAGGTGGAGGGAGGTGCCGATGGCGGAAGAGGAGACACAGAGGCATCGGGTCCTGAGGGAGGTGGGGAGGGTGGGGGTGGCAACGGCGGTGCCTCTGTAGGCTGGGAAGGCGGCGGCGGTGAAGGCGGCGGTGGATGAGGAGGAGGAGGATAGGGGGGCTGCGGAGGGGGGGGGGAGGGCGGCGGCGGCGACGGCGGTGGTGGCGACGGCTCTGCAGCAACAGTCAGCGGAGCAACGACCAGGGCTAGGATGCCGGCGCGCATTGGGCGGGATGTTCCGACGGCGAGAGCCGGAGTTTAAAAGGGGAACGAAAGGTTTCCCGCCGGTTCGAAATTTGCTCAAGGTGTGAATCCCAGGGCCTCCAGGGCTCGCACCTCAACCGGCAATTCAATAAATGCGGGCACAACGTCTTCTTTCGCAAGTAAGGAAGATGCAAACTTGCAAAGAGAGTGCCCTGGCGCGAGCCAAAGAGAGAGGAAAGAGGAAGGGCTCGGGCCTGGGTTTGTTCCCGGGCCAAGTGGATTATTACAGAGGGTTTGAAGAAGTGTCACGCCAAGTTTGCTCTTCGTTGAGCCCGCTGCCGCGCTGCCCCCTACGCTATCGGCACGTTGAACATGCCAGCCACCTACTCGCCTCTCCGTCTCAAGAGCATGCCGCCGCTTCGGCTGTGGCCGGACGACCCACCGGCCGACGTCTACTTTGACTCCGTCTCGGCGAGCATCAACAATGTGGGGCCCCGCGACTATGCGCGTCGAAAGCGCCAGCTAAAGGACCCGCAGTTGACGCCCTTTCTCGTGCCGCAGCCGATGCGCGCCCGGCTCGGGCTGGGCCCAGACGTGGAGCTTCCACTGGTGCTAGTGTTCCCGGGTGGTGGCTACGTCAGCCTCACAGTCCAGGCCGAGGGCAGGCGAGCCTGCAACTGGCTCAACCTCGCCGGAGTCCACTGCGTTGTTGTCGAGTACCGCACGATGCGCCGCCACCCAGCGCCGCTGCTTGATGCACGGCGCGCTGTGCAGCTGGTACGGCTGCACGCGGCCGCGTGGCGCGTCGCGCCAAGGATCGGCGTGCTTGGCTTTAGCGCTGGCGGGCACGTCGCTGGGCATGTGAGCCTTGCGTGGGACGCCGCCGAGGGCGGGGAGGTCGACAAGCTGTTGAGCGCCAAGGGCGACCGCGCGGCGGCGTTCTCCGCGCGGCCCGACGCCGCAATCCTTGCCTACCCGCTGGTCAGTGCGCACAATGACACAGTCGATTGCGCGGTCGGACGCCACCCCTTCTGCAAGTGCTCCACCTATGCCTGCGTCGGCGAGGCTGCGCGCGGCCAGCCGAGACCGCTCCGCCACCATGGCTCCTTCGCGGTGCTGCTTGGACCCGATCTAGGCAAGTCGTTGCCGCGCACGGCCGAGGACGACGTCTCCCTCGATGATCTCGCGCTGCGCCGGCCGGCCTCGTCGCCGCCCCCGCCCTTCTTCTTGTGGCACACTGAGAGTGACGACATCGTGCCGTTCCAAAACACCGAGCGGCTGGCGGCTGCGCTCCGCTCGCGCGGGGGCGCGGTCGAGGCGCACATCTTCCGCGGCGCAGGGCTCAAGCACGGGCTTGGCCTTGCGATGAAGTTTACGGGGCGCGACATTGGCAACTGGACCGGGTTGTGCGAGGCGTGGGCTGGCGCCAACTGGCAGCCGCATGGCCGTGCTTGGTCAAGGGGCTAGATGGGACTGAGGTTCGCTACCATGGGGTGTGCGGGCTGTGTGAGGATAGCGGAATGTAGGAGCGTCAGAGCGACTTTCCCGCACGTGCACGGAGGGCCGTGGCGCAGGTAGATCGCAGGTAGAGAGGTAGGGCTGGACTTGGAGGGGAGAGGTAAAGGTAAACTCATCTGAAGCCGGAGTCGAGGTAAAGAAAAGGAGCGCTCCAGATGAGATCAGCAGGAGGATGTACAAAGAGATTAGGAGCAGCAGGGACCCGAGGGACCATGTGGAAGGGTCCGAGACTTACTCCGAGATACGGCTCTATCGGCTCTATTAGAGAGAGTTCTCCCCCGGCTAGTCACGACCAGCAACCCACAAAGAACCCTGCACAAAGAACGCACCGGGATTCCTTTTTACCATCTCCTAGTAGAGGTGTCCGTTTTATTTATTTATTTCCCCAGCGTCCCGGCCGGGTATAAGCCCGCGGGCGCGCGGGGGCCGCGGGGATCGGGGCGCCGCGCGGGCATGGCCGCTGGGGGCGGTGTCAGTAATGGCTATCCTAAAATGGGGCCGCTTAAAAGAAAGAAAACAGACAACCCAAGGGAGGGATGGGAGGACGGCACGCCGCCACCACGATACACAGGGATTTTTTACTGCGTATAGCGTAAGGAGAGGTGTGTGGTGCGCTAGCCGTCGCCCACCCTAGGGAGTCTGCCTCTTCCTATCTCTCTTCGCAGTCATGGGGCCGCTTCGAAACGCCGAAAAGGGGCCGGGACTTCTCTCAGAGAGAGGCGAAGGAGAGACGACTCAGAAGACACGGCTCTCTAAACAAGTAGACGGAAGCGTAACGCTACAACGCACGCGTGGCCAAGACGCGGCACATGACGGGTAACACAACAGGTACTCACCTTAAAATGTGGGGGGGGACGGGTGGACGGCTGGACGTGTCGCGTGTCTTCCACCCTCGGGCACATGCTTTGTCCCCATCCATCCCGCGGACTAGCGCGCTCTCCACCTGTTCGCGCCGTCAGTGGAGCCGTCTGCTGAGGGTTGCTGCTCCCCGCGACTCCTGCCGCTCTCGCCGCCGAATGTCTCGCCAACGCTACTGCTGCTGCCGCCGCCGCCACCACCGCCACCGCCGCTGCTGCCGACCTCGACGACGCCCTTCTCCCCGTCGCTGTCGCCCCGATCTCCGGTGGCGAGCCCAACGGCCGCCCTGAGCCGCTCCTCAACCGAGAAGACGGGACGCACGCCGCTGGCGACGCGGAGCACGTCGCAGAGCGGCTGCGTGCCCATCGTGTAGTGCACGCCATAGGCGAGCGAGTGCAGCGGCCGCTCCTTTGGTCTGCGCGTGCCGGCGGGCAGCGCCGCCGCGTCGAGGAGGCGCTCTGTCGCCGCCTGGGAGATATGGGGAGATATGGGGAGATATGGGGAGATATGGGGAGATATGGGGAGATATGGGGAGCATGGGGAGGCGCTCTGTCGCCGCCTGGGAGAGCGCGCGAGCAGCGAGCGAAACAGGGGGGCGGGTAGAGGTGTGCCTGCTGCTCCGACTCTCCGGCAGTGTCTCGGCAGTGTCTCGGCAGTGTCTCGGCAGTGTCTAGGAGGAGGTGTCTAGGAGGTGTCTCGGCAGTGTCTAGGGAGCGCCTCCCACGAGAGGGCGTACTGCTCCATCTTGGTCATCGCGGCGGGTGGAGTCGCGAGCGCCTCGCTGATGAGGGAGCCGAGCTGCGCCGGGTCGTCGTAGAGGATGGCGTTTGAGAACTGCTTGAAGAAGAGGTT